GTGGAGTCTCCTTCCCTGGAGATATTCAAAACCCGTCTGGATGTGATCCTGGGCAATATGCTCTAGGTGACCCTGCTTGAGCAGGGAGGTTGGACGAGATGATCTCCAGAGGTCCCATCCAACCTAAACGATTCTGTGATTCTGTGATTCTGTAATTCTCATGTCTGTTATCAAAACATGTCTTATGTAAGTATTTTGAAGACAGAAAAAAACAAATAAATGCCGATCACCCTTGCTGAAAGTCCTATTATTAAATATAGTCTTTTTCTGGATTGCTCTTTCAAAAATATTTCATAATACTTTTTGTTGTGAGGAAGTGATGCCCAAATGCAAATAAGCTGGTTCCTCAACAATGATTGGGTAATAGATTTTGTGGGGCTTTTGTTTTCTTTCTGTATCTGCATAGTGTATAAAACATGCCACGCTATGATGACAGCAACTTTTGTTTATTATTATAGGATTGACCCAAGGACCATTTCATCCTGCAAGAATCAGTTAGCAAGATCTGCATAGACTTCTTCTTAAAAGGGAACATGTCTGAAATTGACTATGAGAAGTTAGCTGAAATAGGTAAATATTTCTTATTATACTTCAAATGGCGTCTATGTGGCGTTGCAGGTGATTTAATAGAGCATCTTCAGTAAGTGAGAAGCTTCACCAGCATTTTGTAATACTACTTGGAGCAATGCAGTATGAGTTACAGCTGCTGTACTGATGTGTGCCCTATTAAAGCCATTAGGTTTGAAGGTTAGTTTAATACATGCAGCATTTATGAATTATTGGTATATGTTCCCAGTGCAATGCGAGGCTATTGGAATATCACCATTATCACGTATTGTGGCACAAATGGGAGTCATTACTCCAAAGAGGCAAGTACTGAGTGGGCATAGAGATTGCTGTATTACATGTTATCTCCAAAGATGTTAGTCAAGCTGAGCAATTTGACCATGGAATTAGGAGGCTCATCGTTTTGAAAAATCAGAATTAAATTTTTTCCTGTCTTTTTGGGGATGCCAGGCTGAACCTCAGAGCACAAGTCTTTCAAATCTTCTTATTTATTTATTTACCGTCCCCATCCCCCATCCCTCTTTTCCTGTCCTTCACCTTAGCTCTGATTTCTCCAAATGTCATGGCTTTCAGCAGCAGCAGACAGGCCTCTTTACTCCTAGGGCCCGATTCAAAATCCATTGAAAGCAATTTTCCCATCAAACTCAGAAAGCTTTGAATCAGGCCCTTCATGTTCTCTCCCAGTCAGGATTTAACAGCAGTAACAGTGTGAGTAGTAACAGATGATTCTCTGCTATGCCTCATGAAGCAGGGCAATAAACTCCTATCATTTGCAGGAGAAAAATGGAGCTCAGGTCTCTGTCGGTTCGGAACAATGAATCTTTTTTTTTTTTAATTTGTGTTTATTATGAAACATCTCTCGAGTGCCAGACCTCTTGTTCACCCAAAAACAAACAAAAAAAAAGAATTATCTTATTATATGAGGATAACTAGCTTTTCAGTAGTTTGTGATTGCTGTTGGGACTATAGTCTCTGTGAATAACTGCAGTACAGATGTACATGCATATGTACTTTTTACTTTGTTTCTGCAGGTTTTTATCTCATGTCTCAAAGCCAGATGGCTGTCTATACTTGATCACAAATCCCTACCTCTTCTTTTTGGAAACCTGTCTATTATTTTGCATAGTACAAAATAAATTTGTACAGAAGGGGTTGGCCTCTGCCGCTTTGTATCGACTGTCCCAGCTTTAACATGAATTTCACCATTTCATCCCTTTTTAAAAGTATTTAAATCATGTAATGCATGGTGTTGTATTATTCTTCCCAGCTCTTTGATCAGAATCATTCTAAAGTGAAAGAATACTGTTCCAGTTAAGGTTACTATAGTTTTCTTATATATGGTACATTTTTAAAAGATAGAAAAATACACACTTGGGAGCTAATAGTACGACTTTTCTTTTTAGTGTATGAGGAAGACTCTAATGGTTTATTTCTAAAGGCAGATATTTTTTCTAAGACTTACCAGGTCTGCTGATTTATTTTTTGTGGAGACTTTAATATGAATTCAGGGCAGACATAAACTTTAAAAAAAAAAAAACCACAAGTTTTCTTAACTCCTCTTTGTCTTTTAGAAGCCCAGCCATTAGTGGCATTTTTCATCCTTGTGAAATGCATTTTTAGTAAAACCATGTTAAAAATAAAAATGAGACAATAAAACTTTCACGTAGCTGTTTATAGGAGAGAAAGATACTGGGAGGTTGTGAGTGGAAAACATTCAGAAATATTTAGTAAGAGTTTTTCTCTAACAATTATTAGCTACTGTATATAAAACTGACTGAAATCAATACCTAATATATTCTTTCTGCCCTGGTGTGTCTCAAGTAGCGGTCAAGGCATGCGAAATACGCAGAGGATCAGAAAGCAAAACGTTATCGAAGTACCTTTCTAAGTGGCACTAATGGTGTTATAGGTTAAACTGCTATTTCCATCTTATTATGACTTGCACGATAAAAGAGGTAGCTGATGTACAAAGGGGTGGTATACCTTAGCAGAATATTAATTTGTCTCTTTAAATGCAGCTTTTGGTGTTTTAAGCCATCAAGACACTTGTGTGTTAGCGGGTCAGTACAATGTTATTCCAGTCAGTTTCTGGAGAACATTCATTTGAATAGTGTAGACACACTAGCACCAGCAATTTTTGCATCATGCTCCCAGAATCTGTGTTCATTTGGTTATGTACTTAAGATCATCTCTTTTAGAACCGTGCAACAGTTTAGAAAAAGATTGAAAACAAAACAAAATAAAACAAAAAAAACCCTGGAGACAGGACTGACTGACTTTTTGTTGCTTATTTTGTGCAGAGTAGATTTTGCTTTGAGGGCCTAGTTCAGGATCTGCTGAAGTTAGGGAAAAGAAGCCCATTGATTTCATTGGGCTTTTGAGCAGATGTTTGCACCTTCACTCAGGACTTAGCTGAAATGTATGCTGAATGGACATTTGACTGCTGTGCCTATTGGAAGTTCTGAAGGATAATGAATTTCAAGGAAACGGTGGATTCTGAGGGAGCTAAGATGGGGTTTTGTTTGTAGTATTTTATAGTACTGAGATACAGCGCTAATGGTAGGTCCAGATCTTGCTGTGCTAAAATCTATAGAAAATTCAGAATGTCTGGTCCAAGTGAAGACTTAACCTGCTTAGAGAAGTTAGCCCGCAGTTACGTTGTGCAGCAATTTACAACACAGTCACTGCTTTGAGACCGTTCCCCATGTGAAACTGTCAGTGAGCATTAGCGATATCTTTATGCAAGACAACGAGTCTGATGTCAGGGAGCGTTCACATAGGGTGTTAATGTGGAGTAGCTATGAATGTGCATGCTAGCATACTTAACCATACATGAACACCCCATACAGACAAGCTCAAAGTAAAAAACAAGAAGCTGTAGATGGATACCGCAAGCAGATTGTGCGAGTGTAGGAAATGAGGAGACAACACCAGCAGTCATGAATAGCAAGGTCACAGCATGCCAGCTGTCCAATTGTTAATGAGGTTTTTGTGAGCATCGCAGCAGATCCTAATTTTAAGGAGGACATGAAGGTGGCTGTGAGGTATTATGGGGTTGCTTTTCCCACACATGAGGATAGGAAAAAGCAAGAAACTGGTTTGAAGATGTAACAGTGGCGGATAAAGACCTGTGTTTTTGCCAGAGCTGAGCTAAAATTCAGCCTTTTAATAATGTATCAGAGGCAGAAGCGTTTCTTTGTTCATTATCACTTAAGCATTCTTGCTTGCTCCTTTAGAATTGCAGAAAGATGAAGCAGAAGATGCACAATCTGACCAGGAAAAAACACTTATTCCACCACCACTTGAGGATCCTGAGCTAAATACTAATCACCCCTACTATGATGTTGCGAGACATGGCATCATTCAATTAGCAGGTATGTTTGGAAAGAGAGTGCAACTTCAGTTTACTAGACCCCTTATCACATTTTTCTTACTATACTCCTCAGTGATGCATCAGAATCATGTAAATACTTTCAGCCTTCATCCTGAAAAGCAGGTGAATAGTAATAACGTGATCCCGTGTTTTTCTACAGATGAATTATGAGGCGAATATTTGAGCTTAATCTTGCTTTAAAATATAACCATTACAATATATCATAATTTGAAGCCTAAATACTGACTGTAACAGATCTGTGGTTTACTTGAGTGATAAGCTGCTTTGTTTTCTGAATAACCTGAAGTATTATGAAGCCACGCATTTAATCATTTTTATAGTCTGCCCAGGAAGGGAAGTGCAACTGAAGAGATATAGGTTACTGTATAAAAACTAATAAGAGGCAGAAAGGAAACTGTTGATGCATTGATGGAGCGAAGCTGCGGATACATACCATATTTGAATATTGAATCATTTGATGTTTACAGTTACTTATTTTAAAATCTTTCTGGCAACATACTAATAGGACAAGTAGGCACATCTGTGAAATAAAAACACCTCTTTAAAGTATGCATTGCAGGTTTTTTTACTCTTGGTTCTTTTTTGGTATTAACATGCTTGTTAAAATAACATTATGATCACACTCCTAAACTTAAGAATGAAGAAAGAAGTAAACAGCAGTATTCAACACTGCTCATGTGCAGACTATGTTAGATTGCACACACTTTTTGCACTTCAGGTTTTAATGCGCCTAGATTGTGACCTTCCTGGAAAGCCATGATCTGAAGGGTGTATGTATCTGTGCCTTCCTGAGTTAGAACCATAAACAGAGTGTCATTTCATTGGTTTATTAATCCAAGTGAATGTGAACTTTAGGGAAACCAGTTCTCTAATGAGATACACTTGAATAGGATAGTGAAATCAGTGGTGACTTGACTTCTGACTATAGTGGGAAGAGAATTTTACCAATGCTAACTTCTCCTCTTGAAGCTAGTTATACACAGGATAATAATTACTTTTTACCTTCATCAAAAACTCCTCCCAACATAAGACTCCAATGCATCGACGACAGAATAACAGATTCAAACTCTTGTGATTCAAAAGCTACTACCCGCTGACCCACTAGGATGTTTCTCACTCAAGCACCAGCTTTGGGAGGGGGGAAATACCAAGTTACAAAAGTTATTAATGAAATAATTGAAATAAAACTGAGAGAGTGTGAAATAGGTCTGTTAATAGACACACGGGAAACGCCAGGGTCACTATAACGGTCCATCTAAGAACCTCTCCCATATGCTGTATTAGCCAATGCTATATGGTAATGTTTTAAGAGCTCTCCTTCAAGGGTTTTTTATCCTGCTGATATACTCCACATCGAGGTGTGACAGGCCATGTATTTTACTGCTTCAGCTTTACCCTAATCGTGCACAACTACTTAGTAGCTGTTTGTGGTTGCTCCTCAAAACTGCCCTGGAAGTTGGAAGTTTTATATTAACACTTGATATTTGTCTGTTTCTAAACGGACAAATTTTTAGCTGATGCTGATTCTAAAGGATCCTTGTTAGGTTTGTCTCCCTTAGAGGAACTGTCATGATTTTTGCAGGTATTGGTAGAGTGCCTGATGCTGAGCTGAAACTTCTGAGTCTGCAGTTGAAAAAACTCTTCTTTTCCATCCCTCATTACTGGGGGGCGGGGGAACAAATTGGCAGTCTTACTGTGTTCTGCTCAAGTGGCCAGTAAGACATTCCTTGCTGATTTAAAAAGGTAAATAAATAACATTTTACTTACTACTGAGGCAAACAAAGACCTTAACTTTCATATTCTCAGACAGACAGCGTCTTTTGACTCGGAGAATATCAAATGGTGGGGAAACTCAGAAAAGGGGGAAAATTTTGGAATGAGAAACTGAAATATACTGGAACAGCTCCTTTTAAAAATTCATGCTTTACTGCTGGTGAAACAGAGAACATACAGGGGGGGCAGAATATTAACTAGTGTTTCCAACCCTGGCTCAGTTCTCACCTGGCTTAACTTTATGCAATTTCCTTCCCTTTATTTCTGTATTAGAGAATGGGAATGTGCCTCAGTGTAGTCCAAAGTGAGACCTTCAATGTTTTTTTTTTTTAAGAGAACTACTGGGAGCTTCCATTGCTTTGTCTTAGAACTTGCCCCATATCAGTGTTTGCTTGGAATAAATGCAAATGTTATATCCTCCTGCTGTAACTCCACTGAAGCAAACAGAAGTATTCACAAGATAAATCTTGGCTGAAATGTTTGATTATCTGTAATGATTTTTTCGTTAATGCTGTAGTCTTTGATACTGTGAAGGGAGGGAAAAGGTCCCCTGACTTGTTCAAACTCGGAAAAAGAGTAGATTTAGCTGCCACATCCATCGGAGCTATATGATGGGGTTTTGCAAATACACTGGACAATTGAAGTGCAAAGCACAAGCCAGCAGGCACGATTCCGAAGGCAGAATACAAAAATAAATAATTTTGATAGCGTAACCTAAGAAGAGAACGCAGAGGTGTGCGTATGAATGCAGAACATGCAAAAGGTAAAAGTATCATCAGAAGACACACTTCACTTCCACAAAATGAGACTTCTATCCGCAGTGTTAACTGGTGTTGAGTCACATTTGAATGTTTTCTGGATTTAGAATCAAGTGCGGCAAGGGCAAGCTCTTCATGCCTCTTTCCCATCTTGGAAAAGACCAGTCTCTTTTGAGAACAAAACATTTTTAAATGATTTTTACCTAGTTTATTGCTATTCATAATAATCTCCTTGAATAAGACAAAGTATAATTTCAGTGTTTTGAATGGCTGTTTTAAAGCAATTCTACAAGCTGTTCCTTCTGTTTTAATTCTGTGATTGAAAGACAATGAAATGTATTGTTTGACGTGACTGAAGAATGAGAACACAGAATTTAGATGAAATTATTTGCAGTAATTTATCCATCTCTTACAGTGATTTAGTTTCCAATAGTTATTTAAAAAAAGAAACAACCTAAAATTCCACCTCATTTCTAGTAAATTAAAGTGAATTTTACTTACTTTCCATAACAATAGCTTTGACTATCTGCAAAGGAGATTTTTGAGTGTGTTTTTACACTATGTAAATACAAATTAATTTATAATAGAGGACATTTTTGAAAGGTACCAGTTTTAGTAGTTGTTTACTACACAGTGATTTATCCCACTAATACGAGTGTGTTGACTACTTTAAGCATACATAAATGGCAACAGTGCTCCAATGCTTTTTTTTTCATTTTCATTTTGAATTTTCAGACTGTTGCTTAAAAAGAAATTCAAGATTTTATTTTTCTTTAGGGCAAAAATGAAGGGACATATAAAGCATATATGGTGCATCAAGCTTCCTTGTTTTCTATAGCTTGCTTTTATAAGATGATTGCTGATAATTTCTTGTGGTACCTTATTTTGGATGTGTGCTGATTGAATAGAAGGCTATTTATTTTGGATGCTTGTGATTTCCTTAATGCCAAGTTACGTCCTTTTATGTATTAGACTAAACTTGCTAATGGAAGCAAAATCTGTCTTTTCTAGTTATATTTAAAAATTTCAGGTATTCAGCATGTCCTCAGAGAGAGTGTTCATACTTTTTTCCAAGCTCCAGTTCATTTCGTGACCATTTCTGGTGTTGGACCAGTGTATTAGAAACTGTTTAAAATAGTATTATATAGATCCAGCCATGAAAGTTAAAGTAGTAATTTAGTTTTGGTAGCATATAAGGAGAAACAGTAGTGAATTACCAAACAGTGAAACAGTAGTGAGTTAGCAAATAGGCTTAAGAGACACATCTTTATAATTATCAGTCTACGTCAGTGGCAGCTTTGCCATTTCCCCCCAATACCTTCAAGAGCAGATCCATGGTGTATAAATTGAACTGTCGTGGGAAGGAACTGGGTTTAAAGCTTTTTTTCTTAAAGGAAGATTTACTTTATCCAATTTTTATTTCCAAAATATTCCTGATCTCTGGTATTATTTCATGAATACCATGGGGGGTGGGGGAGTGTGGGGATTTGTTTTATTTTGTTTTGTTTTTTGTTTTGTGGGTGTTTAAACACAAAAGTCAACGGGAGAGACCTTGGGTACTTTTCAAGAAGCTTAGGGTTCTAGTTCATAAGCTATTTGCAGCACAAGAACAGATTTGAATGTGGGTTTCATGTCTTAACTAGTTGAGTGTTGTCATTTTTTCCTTTCAATTGTTATGAAGGGAACTTCAGAATAAAGATGGAAAGCAATGAAAAATGCTCCCTGCTCTAGAGAGAGGGAATTTACCCCAGTCATAGAAATATAGGTTCAAATACCTCTGGCACAAGCAGGAATTGAACTTGGGTTTTCTGCATTCTGGGCCAGTTTTCCTGCTGCTTCTTTCTCCAATTATTTTCTTCTGAGAATGTCAAAGGAAATAAATCCTTCTTTATTGCATTTCTCACTTTCAAACATCAGACTGTAAGTAGTAGCATAATATTTTAAGATAAAACTGAGTTAATTACATCAAGATATATGGACACGTTTTCTTGCTGAACCTGAGAAAATAAAAGGGTCTACTTTAAATATTATTTGATTTCAACCACTTAAAAGCAACAGGCTTATTAAAATAAATGATGTCTCAAAGTGCCGAATTCAAATATGAATGTGAATTTGATTTTAGGGTTGGGTATCTTGAAAATATACTACAAATCATTCTACACCAGAATATAACTTATTAAAAGAATAGCCTGGCACTATTTCCCCTTCACAAAACAAGTAGATTATGTTCCCTTTCTGGTTGGCTAAACTGCTGTTTCTTTGCTTTCCTTGTATTTTCTTTTACACTTTCTGTGAGTTAGCAAGATGTTTAGTCTTAATATTTAGTTTTGCATCACTGAAAGCAGTACTGACTTTCAGTGCCGCTTTTAAGAGTACAACATCAATCTCCTCCAGAGCGCCAGCTAGACTTAGCTTTATGAACACCTTTAACTTGCTCTTACTGCAACTC